TTCTTTAGATTTATAAGCGAATATAACTTTCCCATTAGGATTATGGGACATACTTAAAGTCTGCAGCTGATGGCACCTGGTGGATTTTCCAAACACAAACCCCCACAGTAGGGTTCCCCTTAAATTTTTATTCCTCCCTAGACACATGTACTTACATACACAAACCCAACTGTGTATCTAAATTTTGAGATTTATCATAATCCTGAGTTTGTCTCCTCAGAGTGAATTTTGTCACTTTGTATCCCAGTTTCAAGAAGTGGCATTTTTGAAACTCTGAGGACGTTTCTGAATTTGATGGATTTGGAAACTTTGCAATACAGCCGTTGTAATTCTAGATACACGTGACATACATACAGGGAAAGTAAATCAGATTGCTTTAGTCCTGATAATAGGATGTAGTGATTACAAAAAATTTCCCTCTTAGTTAAAAGACGTCCTTATTTTAAAACCAAGCAATAGGGCCGGCCGAGTGGCGTGCTGGTTAACAGCTGGCTTGGGATGCCAGAGGGCCCCAGTTCGGATCCAACATATGAAGGCCAGTGACACTACCCTCTACAGCTAAGATGCTGAACAACAGCTCAACCTGGAGCTGGGCTGCCATGAGTCACCAGCGACTGCGTTGGCTGCAGCCCCTGCTGCAGTGGGTTGCCATGGGCTACCTTGTGTAGCCAGCAGCCAAGCCAGCATGAGTGGACAGCAACTTGTCTGTTCCCCTTCCCCCAATTCCCCAGCGCTGTTCCCATCCCCCAATTCCCCAATAAAAATCTTTAAAAAAAACCAAAAAACAACAAGAAGTAAAAACACTTGAGGTAAAAAAGGGTAGTAGTTTAAAACTAATTAGAATTCTAGAATGTTCTAGCATATACACCTCTGGAAATGAAAAACCTAGCATCCAAAAGTAAGTCAGAACATAATAATACTTCCTGGAATTTATATAATTATGAATCTCTCAAAATGTTCTTGGGAGTAAGGTAAGAGGCATTGTTATTATCCCATTTCAAAGGTGGATAAATAGGGCACCGAGAGATTAATTCGCCTAGTGGTTGGGGCCAGAATGCAAAACCTAAGGTTCCCATACACAATGCAGAGCCCTTTTCTTTGGATATAAAATATTTCATTGTACTAAAATCTTCACCACCTAAAACCAGGGTCTAAATGTAACCCCTCAAAGTACTGCTGAGGAAGAAAGGTTACGAGCCTGAGTTAACGCAGACTGCCACAGGAAAATCCATCTGGGAGGGTATTTTGAAAGAAACATGAAAAAGGAAGAGATTCTTTTGAACGTCGTGTAACATTCACATTATCCTCCATGAGCTTCCATGTAGTCCCCGTATGTATATAATTTATCACTGCATCCGTAGACAATATAGATTAGGAAGCCCAGTGAGCTCATGTGCTTTTTTCTGTCTGAGTCTGAATTCTCCTTTCAAGGGCAAATCTGGGACAGGGTCTGTAAGACAGCCAGATTCGTCAGTGAGTCAGCAGTGATTCAGCTGCGGCTTCTTTGATATCCCTGATTCTCTTGGGAAAAACGTATGACTTCACTTATATCTTGGTGTATTACTGCCCAATTTGCAATCAGTTTCAGCTACAGTGATAATCTCCTTCTATGATTTATTTGTTTCTGCCTTTCTACGTGTGAAGATGCCATTCATCTCATCTATAACATCTATCTTTCCCCTAATTTATGTCTCCATTTTCCCTTTTGCAACCAAACAACAACAAAAGCAAAACTCTTACAGGAATCATCCCCTTATGGCGTCCTACCCATTCATTTGTGTTCCTTATGTGTCTCATAAACATTGACAATCTGTGGTCATTTGCTTCAAATGGTCAAGCCTCTTCTCATGTCTGTTCATGAACATGAGTGTCTTCATCTCTGGCTGCACATTAAAATCACTTGGGGAGTTCATAAAAAATACCGATGCTTGAGTCTCCAGACCAAATAATCAGAATCACTGAAGGGTGGGGCCATTGGTGTGCAAGTAAATATTTAACAACTTGCTCTCCAGGAAAAAAAAAAGTCCTGATTTGTAGTATTTGTCCATTTCCATGGTGTAAATACTTCAAACATAGTGGATTTTAAGCTGTCTACTTGACATTGCTGAATGTAGATATGGAAGAGATACAATTGGCTCACAAGAGCTGTCTCCAGTGCACACGTGAGATTGTGTGCATGTGTGTGTGTGTGTCAGATATGATGATATATATATAATAATCATATAAATATACATGGTAGTTGTATAAATATACATGGTGATACACACATATACACACACGCCCCCCCCACACACACACCCATATACAGTAGTTCCCCCTTATCGATGGTTTCACTTCCTGCGATTGTAGTTACCTGCAGTTAATCTTGGTCCTAAAATATTACACGGAAAATTTCAGAAATAAACAATTCCGAAGTTTATAATTGGGTGCTGTTCTGAGTAACATGATGAAATCTTGAGCTGTCCCATTCGTTCCACCCAAGACAGGAATCATCCCTTAGTCCAGAATACCCACGCTGTGTATGCTACCTGCCCGCTAGACATTTAGTAGCATCTCAGTTATCAGATTGGTTTTTAGAGATTGAGAGAACACAGTCATGTAACTTTTATTACAACATATTGTTATAATTGCTCTATTTTATTATTAGTTATTGTTAATCTCTTACTGTGCCTAATTTATAAGTTAAATTTTATCATAGGTATGTATGTACAGGAAAAACATAGTATAGACAGGGTTCAGTACTACTCGCATTTTCAGACATCATCTGGTAGTCTTGGAATGTATCCCCTTTGGGTAAGGGGAAACGAGTGTGAGTGTGTGAGTGTGTGTGTGTGTGTGTGTGTGTGTGTGTGTGTGTGTGTGTGTAATTGCTAGGTGATTCTAATATGCAGCCAAGGTTAAAAACCTCTGAGCTAGATGACACATTTCTCAGATGCAGTGACTATGTTGGGGTTTTTTTTTTTGCCTCATCTTCCCTAAAACACCAAGAATAGAGACTGAATCAATGTTGTTAACAGACCATGTCAGGTTATTATTAATCTATCATTCATATCCTGTGATGCAACAGTGAACATTGCAGTATCTTTTGACTAAAATGCACAATTATAAATTCACTTTCTCTTGATTTCCTTACTGATGAAGAGTAGGATGCTAAATATAATTTGGGATGCCCTACTTAAAATGTCAAGGTTTTGTTTATATTTCATTTTGTTTAATATTGTTTACAAACACACGCTGGATATTTATTTTTAGTGACCCCTACCCCTTTCAGCTCTTAGGTATAGGAGCAGCCACGAGAATTATATTTTTTATGGTAACTCTGCTTTATTCTTCTTAAAGCACACGTCTAATTATTTGGATATATATCTCCTCTATGCTTACATGTGCTTAGAAGCTTCAAATCTCTTCCACACAGCATTTTTTTAAAATAGTAAACACCTAAGATTGTACAGGTGGTCTTTCCCAGGGAAGGTAACATTGTCCCAAGGGAACAAGGTCCAAGGTAGATTTTTAGAGACCTCTAGGGACAAGAACCCATGGATATTTTAAATTATATGAAAGAGATTCACAAAAAACTTGGTACCCCATGACATCGCTTAATAACTTTCTTCAGCAGGTTCTGCATGATACACTTAGATCTCCTGACCTTCTCTTTAAACTCAAAAAAGGAGGGCGGCAGGACAGTCTTCCAGTTTAATAACAGCTCATGTACTTGGCAATCATATTAATTTATCCTTCAGCTTTATTTTCTTTAAAGTATACTTCCTCAATAAATATGGTTCTTATGTTTCAGTGGATTTACAGTCACAGGGGACAAGAGAAGGAAAGCTGGTCCCTAATATTGATGTACCTGAAGACTTCCGAGAGGATGACTAATCACCAAAGCAAGACCTGAGAGTTCATCAATCTGCAAAACCAGTATAACTTAATTTCCCAGTTTCCCAGCCTTCTCTGGGGGGACGGGGCAAGGGCGTTTTGGGATCATCAAATGTTATGAAATAATTCAATGAATAGGTTTGTTTTCAGTGATGAATCACTAACTGTTGTGCAGCGAGTAAGTCCCATATCAAGTCAATGAAATATGGGTAGTGAGGTGGAAAAGACAAAATTTGATGTTTAAGAATTGGTAAAATACATGATAACATTAAATGTATGTTTTATACACAAGGCACTGCAATAAATATTCTGGGTTTTTTTTTTGTAACTTTTATGTTTGCTTTGTGTACTTCAGCAAAGGCCTTGACCTTTTAGGGCTTTTAATGACAATCTCTGACTACGTATTTCTGACTTTTTCTGAAGGATCCAACAAATTGTCAAGAGTACTGCAATGCTGATGTAATCAAAACTAGAAAAATACTAATTAAAGGTTTAATTTGTGGACATATGTTTTCATTTTACTTTTCATATTAATTGGGAGGAAAAAGAAATCATAATGACCGGGCCGGCCGAGTGGCTCAGTTGGTTAAGAGCTCGCTCAAGAGTTTGAGCTCTGAGCAACAGTGGTTCGATTCCCAGCCCGAGCTGAGCAGCCGCTGAGCTGCCAACAGGTAGCAGGATGGCTCAGCTTAAAAGAAACCAAAAAGAAAACAAAAAGAGCACGAGCTCTGAGCAACAAGGTTGCTGGCTCAATTCCCACATGGGCCAGTGAGATGTGCCTGAGATGAGCTGCTGCTGAGCTGCCAACAGGTGGCAGGATGGCTCAGTTGGTGAGACCATGTGCTCCTAACAACAAGGTTTCTGATTCTACTCCCGCATGGGATGGTGGGCTGTGCCCACCCGCAACTAAGATTAAACACAGCACCTTGAACTGAGCCGCTGAGAGCTGCCAACGGGCAGCCGGATGGCAATTGGACTTGGAGCTGAGCTAGCTGCGCCCTCCACAACTAAGACTGAAGGACAACAAATTGGCTGTTCCCCTTCCCCAATTCCCCAACACTGTTCCCCTTCTCCAATTCCCCAATAAAATCTTAATAAAAAAAATCATAATGACCATCTCTTACCTGAGCAGGCTTCTTCTGAACAACTTGTTGTGGCTAAGGAAGAAAAAATAAAAAGAATGGTTATAGTTTAAAAAGAAACACACATAATGAAAACAAAACTAAGTATATGTGTTTTAAACATAAATACTTGTCTGCAACTAAAGATGAAACTTTCAAAGTTTGAATAGTTTATCTAAGGTTGAAGGGTATTTATTCATGATCTTATATGTTAAGGAAAGAAAATGCAGGTCATCTCAATTAAAACATTCCCAATTAAAATCTGGCAGCGTAACAGCTACATCAAAATTAGCTTGTTATTCAACTGAGGATGGAATAGACCTAATTTGTTAATATTTTTTAAGAGCTTTTTTGAGCTATAACTCACATACCATAAAATTCACTCATATGAAGTGTAGAATTAAAGTTTTTTAGTGTACTTAGAGGCTTATATAATCACCACTACAATCTAATTTAGAACAGTTTCACCTCCTCTCAAAGAAACCTTGTACCCATTAGTGGCCACTCCCCATTCCTTTCTGCCTCCTAGTCCCCTCCCATCCCTAACCAACCACTAATTTACTTTCTGTCTCTATAAATTTGCCTATTCTGGACACTTCCTGTGAATGGAATCATACAATATATGGTCTTTTCTGGTCTGGTGTCTTTCACTTAGCACAGTGTTTTTTAGGATCGATCATCCATGTTGCAGCACTTATCAGTAGTTCATTCTTTTTATTGCCAAATAATATTCCTTTGTATGCAAACACATTTTATTTATTCACCAATCAGTTAATGGGTTATCATGAATAATGCTGCTATGGTCACACACACACACACACACACACACACACACACTCTCATACATACACACACACACACACACACACACATATATAAGTTTTAATGTAGATATGTTTTCATTTCTCTTAAATATAGTTAGAAGTGGAATTTCTGGGTCACCCAGGTAACTATGTTCAACTTTTTGAGGAGAGGTGCCAGACAGTTTCCCAAAGAAGCTGCACCATTTTACATTCCCACCAGCAATATTTGAGGGTTCCAATTTCTCCACGTACATGCTCAAACTTCTTATTCTCTTGCCTTTTTAATTACAGACATCATACTGGGTGTAAAGTTGAATGTTATTGTGGTTCTGATTTGCATTTCCCTCGTGACTAATGATGTTGAGCTTTTTTCATGTGCTTATTGGCTATCTGTATTATCTTCTCTACAGAAATGTCTAATCAAATCTTTTGCCCATTTTTAAATTTGTGTTTTCACTATTGAGTTGTAAGAGTTCTTTATATGTTCTGGATACAAGTCCCTTATCAGAATATGATTTGCAAATATTTTCTTCCATTCTGTTGGTGAGTTTGTTCACTTCCTTGATGGTATCATTTGAATAGATATCTATACCAATATCTATTTATCTACAGCTGTTTAATTATTATGTTTATATCTATCTATTTCCATATCTATTTAGCTGTGTATGCAGAGCAAAACTCTCCACATTTGAGTGAAACAGCTGAGGGACATTTTCTACCCAGCCTAAATTAATTTTCCAAGAATTAGAGTATTAGAAAAATATTTAAGTTATTCTTTGCATTGTAAAAGGTGGCTCTGAAGCCTAAGCTTTTTGATGGATTACTTCCGGGACTCACTCGCATGTCTGAATATAATCAGCCCTACTTACTTTATCTACACATCATTGAGATTTGTGAATATAAGTGAGCTACTTTGATGTGGACAGTGACATACTTTCACGGTTCAAATAAAAAATAAAATTGCCACAGTTCCCCCAAATAACAGAACTTAGAATAAATTCACTATATCATGGAGAGGTAGAGCTCCTAGTCCTTTTCCTGCCTCTCAGAATTTCTGTGATGGTGTGATGTCTTATTGCTGCTCTTGTAAAGATATATAAAAATCATCAGAGCTTTTTTGTAGATCAACAAAATAAAAATAAAAGAAATGGCAAAATACTTCCGTTCACTGAAAAAAAAAAAAACAGTTCATCCCTTGTACTTTAAATCACAGTGGAGACGACATTATAAAAGCCCAGGTTTTGAGATGTTTTCTCCAGGTGGAATTGAACCAAGGACAATTAGGACTTCTTGCCTTTTAGGATTCAAAAGTGTATGCTAAGAGAGTAGCGTTCATTTCAAAAGAGTCATTTGTAGGAACAGACCACTTTTCTTCCTTCTCTTTCTTCCTGCCGATTACACCTGTACACAAGTTTACTCCCGAACCGTTTCAAATCCGCACACATTCTTGCAGGCTGACTGCTTCCTACCGCTCAGAAGTCCCCCTCCTTTTTTGGCTGAGGATCCTGCATTCATGTGACTCCTGCACACTGCGGGGCTCAATGAAATCCTCTGAAAGGGCTGCCAGCTCACCCAATTTTCCATGAATTAGGTCCTGACACTTCAATGAGGGGAAAGACAATGTCTGAAACTCTGCCAGCCCTGGCTCCCAGCCTAGTCCGTGTCACAGAACTTCTACCAGCTGCCCTCCCTTCCACCCAGCACTTCATACTTTTTAGACCACCAAACAAACAGACCCTTGAATCCTTTCAATGCTGGTTGGGGTTATGGCTGCCAGGATGTTTTCCCGGCTTCTGGCACCCAGTGGCTCCAGACTGTGCCGAGAAAGTTTTCTGTTGTTGTTAATTTTGTTTTGTTTTTATTTTTATGAATGGCTTTGGTAGAAAATGCAGACGGAAGCATAATACTACTGCCATTCATAAAAAGGGAAAGGACACAAGCTGGTGTCTGGAAATCTTTGGAACACCAAACAAACGGCAAGTCTCTTATCTTCCCTGGGGCATCTCCTGGCTTAGAACCAAATGCTGATATCTAGAAACCAGTTGCCCCTTAGGGTTTTTATCATTAAACACATGGTGGATCAGATATTGTTATAAGAAGAACCGAACAGTATCAACTACACATAGTCATCTTTAGTGTGGTTAGCAGTATATTTCCCTGCACCTTAATAAATGAGTATTATTTTGTACAAGTATTTCCCATATAAAAGCTTAAAATAATTTCTATTTTTAGCATCTGCCCTTTGCGACTGGAAGGACCCCAGGCTTTAATATTTCCATTTGTTTACAGGAAAACTAAGGCACAGGGAATTTAAATAGCTTCCCTGAGATCATTTTCTAAACCCAAGCCTTCTAATTCTTTTGTTTTTTAAGCTGAGCCATCCTGCCACCTGTTGGCAACTCAGCAGCAGCTCAGCTTGGGCCGGAACTCGAACCGCTGTTACTCAGAGCTCACACTCTTGAGCGAGCTCTTAACCAGCTGAGCCACTCGGCAGGCCCCCCAAGTCTTCTAATTCTCTGACTAGTAACCTGAGGAAACCAGTTCTCATCTAAAAAAAAAAAAAAAGTCCAATCCAATCCAGGAAAGAGAAGCTTCCTGGCCTTGATTTCCATGTCTAAAGTCTTCATTGGGGTCTCTCCCATTCCTCCAGGGGAAACCCTGTCTGCCTCAGTAGCATCCATCTCTGATTCTCCTGGGTTGGTGATGAAAAGTGAGTCCCAAGGGACAAGAGTTAGGCCCACAAGGTCCAGCTGCTCCCACACCCCACTTGGAGATTCTTCCTTCCTTATCAACTGTGGCGGATCTGAGGACATCCCTTTGAAAGGTCTGAGTTTCATAACGACTCTTCTATTGAACAGAGAGCAATACCCTCCAGGTTGCTTATTTAGACAATCCTGAAAATTCTGTCTCTAATAAGTCTGGGCACATGGTGAATTTATACAGTTTGGGCACTTTGTCGACTTAGCATGCAAACCTCTTCAGGGCACTGAGGTTTTGAGTTCCTTATGTTGAGATGGTTACAACTTTCACAAGTTTGGAATGAAAAATCTGTCATTCCACTGTTGCATTTAAATTTCCAGAAGAAAATGGGTGAAAGAGAGATTCCTCGTAGAACAAAACAACATCATCAACCACAAAAGAGTTTGAAGAAATTCTTTGGATTAATATAATGTTAAAAGAAAACTCTGAGGAGAACTAAAAGACCCTGTCAATCAAATGTAGATTAAGAAGGGCCCTCTTGAGGACTTCAACATGTTGTTCTCTGCAGGTTAACTCTTATATTGCACTAGCTCAGCCGTGTTCAAAGCATACTCTTTAAGCAAATAAATGTTATTGTCTGTAAATAGCTTAGGATACAGTATGCTGAGGAAGTGCAAAAGATATGAAAAAGGAAAGAACATATTCTTGGATTTTCAAGATCATACAGCAAATCAGTATTTTTTCAAATGAAAAAAATGTTATTGAGTTTTTAATGTCCACAGAGTATTTTGGTTCTTAAGATTTTGTAGAAAGACACTTGTGTAGGAAGTGGTCTGCCACCCATCTATTTTAGAATAATTAAGGGGTTCCCCATCCCTCCTGAGAATCCAACCTATGTTTCCTGGCTGGGAGTCTAGATATTGTAAAGTTGATACTTAGCTGATATTGTAAAGCTAAGCCACCCCTTCTAGTAGGCATTGAAATAAAATCCTTCATAACGAAGGACCTAGACGTTACTCATTCATTTTACCACGAACCTCAACATTAAATGAAAAGAGGCTTGAATTGGGCTTACCAATTTAATTTTTTTTTAAATGAGGTATGATGTATAATAAAGTAAGGATGATCATTTTGCAAAGGGTCTTAAGTTGACCTTTGAAAAAAAAATAGCCCTTCATTTGCATCTCTGTGCAGATGGGTCTTTCGATTTTATGTAAGCAGCAGTTTAATCAAATTATATCCTTGGTTTTTTGCCATCAAGTAGTAAGTGGTTTTGCTCAACTTTGTTTGAAAATCATAAGACCAATGTTCAATCAAGAGGTACTGCTGTATTGCATTGTTCTGTACACCTGAAACTAACAATTTAAAAAAAAAAGAGGTACTTCTGTTTCCTAGCATAATCTTTTTACATGTAGATTGTTTTTCATTTTCCCAGCAGTATAGGGTAAGACAGATCCCTTAGCTATTTACTAACGAAGAATTTTGAAACTCTCATTTCTTTTGTAAGACATGAAAGGCCCCTAAAATGTAACT